CAAAACAGGTGTGTGTTTTTAAAGGGCAGGACAGCTGTCAGCAACACATCCAATATCACCACACTGATTGGAGTCAAGGTTGGCTCACTTTTGGCTCCAATTAGCTCTTGGAGAAGTCATTAGGCTAGGGGCTCACATACTTTTTCCTCCCTGCACTGTGATGTTTACATGTTATGTTCAATTAAACCATGGCAACATCTAATGTTTGTGTAGTATTATTTTAAGCAGACTGTGTTTTTCTATTGTTGTGACTTAGATGGAGTTCAGAGCACATTTTATGACCAATTCATGCAAAACTCCACGTAATCCCAAGGGGTTCACATACTTTTTCTTGCAATTGTATATGTACATGTGTGTGTGTGTGTGTAAACACACACACACATAAACGTATATACATACACATGATGTGTGTGCATGTACACACACACAAAACGAACTTATTGTATGTGATGTATTCTACAGGTTAGATTTCATTTCTTTATGAACTGTGAGACATCATGAGCCTTACTGAAATGAAGCACTTTTTGAAGCAGGTAATTCCAAGGTAGACTTCTAACACAGAGTTCCTTAGGTCTAAAACCATACCTGAATGCTTCATTTATTTGATGCTCTCCTGCCTTCAGCATTCTCTTGTTTAAAGTAATAGTTAACAGTTTTAGTATGCAAAAGCTAAGTTAATACTAACTTGGGAGTTTGTCTCCCGCATGAGACTATTTTAAGTTTTTCAGATAATCCTTTTCTGTGTATTTTGTATTTATATATAAATGACATGGAAAATACAAGTCTCTTTTCTTTTAGATTAGAACATGTATAAACACTGAGTGGGCAAAGATTCTTCACTAAGAAAGATTTTTTCCAACTAAGATCTCTCATAATGAGGGTTTAAGAAGATAAGCTTCTTTTAGACAAGTTACCCTGCACCCACCTTCAGAAAAGTCTATGTACTAGCATCAGTAATAGTTTGATGTAACAGTATATAACAATCTATTGCTATACTTAAAGCTTTATATCTTCTAATATTTTGACTTCATTTAATTGTGCTCTCAGTAAAATGTACTGAGTATCCTAACCGTTAAATAATGTTGCATGTCAGTTCTTTCCACTATTACAATCCATTACTATCTACATAGTCATTGTGGCAGTATTAAACAGACGGAAATGGGACTATTTTGTTATACTGTGTATAGTGAATGTATTGTACTGTGTCTGTGAAAATGTGCTTTAAATTATATTTTCTTATATTTTGCTGGGGACAAGGTTCATTAAGTTTGGAAGTCACACAAAGTTTGTTTTAGAACTGAGCACCATAAAATGTATTGAAATTTCTTTCTATAAAAGCTGCTTACAAATGTTAATCAAATCACATTTAATAAATTGCCTCTGACCCAAAAGAAAATTGAATGTTGTTTCATTATGTTTGATTGCTTTGCACTATAAAGATGCTATACATTACCAAAGCACACAATAAAATGGGCCTGGTGGCTCAGCAGACTGATAGCATTGTAATTAACACCAGCTGTCTGCAATTACTGTAAGTTCGAATCTCACCAGGCTCAAGGTTGACTCAGCCTTCCATCCTTTCCAAGATAGGTAAATTGAGGACCCAGGTTGTGGGGCCAATAAGCTGACTTTGTATAAATATACAAAAGAATGAAGGCTATTGCTTAACGCATTGTAAGCCGCCCTGAGTCTCTGGAGAAGGGCGGCATATAAATCAAATTTAAAAAAAAATGTTCTCAATTTACTTAATACTCAGAAAATGGTGAGAGTAGGAAATAAATAGAATATAGCACATGTGAATTTTTACAATAATAAATATACTATGAAAATAGGGAGTTTATAATTCATAAATGTAACAGGATTCCTTTGGATTGAGATCCAATACATCTCTCGCCAATAGAATAGTTTATTTTCAACTGAAGATAATTTTTTTGGAAAACGTGGAAAAACACAGTTTCAAGGGAATATTTTAAGAGATTATATATACACGGTCTGTTCATGATTACCATATAGCAAAGTGTATTTTAAAACCTTTAAAAGGCAATGGATTTCCTTGCCACTAAAATCAGAGTGATCTATCTTTTTCTTTCTTTTTCTTTCTTTTTTTCTTTTCTTTCTTCTCTTTTTTTCTTTCTTTCTCTGTCAATCTTGTTTCCAAATGACTCTGGCCAGTTTACAGCATTAAAAGCATTAAAATCATAAAAGATAAATATTTCTAACAAAAATCAAAATTACAATAAAAAATAGGACTATAGTTAAACGGATGTGCAGGAAGGGAGGTGGGATTGCCTCTTAATTCATTAACCATCACCAGTGTTTTGCTCCCCCATTGGGGTGTCAAGCCATCTGGCAGGTCTTTTGGCCTTTACAGAAGGTTGGAAAAATGGGAGCCAATCTTAATGAAGGGCAAATTGTTCCAAACCGCAGAAGCCACGGCAGAGAATGTGCTTCTTCTGGACACCGCCAGCCATAATTACTTGAATGACAGCACCTGCAGCATGCTTTCTCTGCCGATACAGGTGGAAGGGCCAATCCCGGTGGGGTGAGATGGTTCCTCAAATAACTTGGACCCATACCATGCAGGGATTTAAAGGTAATAATCAACACTTTGAATTGCAACTGGACACAAACTGGCAGCCAGTGCAGCTCATGGAGCAATAGTGTAACATAGACTGCCCCAGGTCCAGATAGAAGATAACCTGGGCTTGAATGACTGAGCACAGAGATTCCCAATCCAGGAAAGACCATAATTCGGGTACAACCTGAAGTGCAAAGGCTTGCCTAGTCATGACTTCCAGCTGCTCTTTGAGCAAGAGTCATGACTCCAGGAGAACCCTCAAGTTGCTGATTGGATCTAGAGTAGTGTAGTGCAACTCTGTCCAGAACTAAGTTAAAATCCCGTATCTTGAAACTCCATGCACTCAAAGCCATTCGGTCTTGTCAGGGTTCAACCAAAGCCTATTTCCCCCATCCAGGTTCCCACAACCTCCCGGCATTGCAAGTGGGCCAGCAATAGCATCACTTGGATCACCCTGGAAATATAAAGCAGACTATCATCATGATCCTAAACCCTTGGTGGCAAATTATCTCAACCAACAGCTTCAGGTAGATGTTAAAAAGAGGTGGGGAGAACACCAAGCTATGCAGCATGCACGAAGAAGTGGCCGTGGGTTGGACGTCTCTGTCAACATCAGTTGGGACCAGTCTTGGAGTGAAGAGCCGAACCAGTGCAAAACTGTGTCACCTAGTCCCAAACACTGCAGCTGGCCCCAAAAGATACCATGATTGATGGTACTGGAGTCTGCTATGAAATTGAGAACAAAAATGGTTGCATTATCTTTACCTTACTCTTGTCAGAGATCATCAAGTGCAGCCAATGACATTTCTGTCCTGTAATGGCCTGAATCCAGACAGGAAGGGGTCCAGATAATGTTTCATCCAAGATCATATGAAGCTGCCAAGCAACTACCTTTTCTACCACCTTCACTAATAAGGGAAGTTAGGCACTGGACAAAAGTTGTCCAGATGAGATCAAGTGATGGTTTTTAAAGGAGGGAACAAATCAGGGCCTCCTTAAAAGGAGGTAATACGGTAATAACTGGTAATATCCCTTCCTGCAGTAAGGAATTTATCACTGCTTGAATCCATGTGCTAGTTCTGGAGGTTTTTACCAACCAGGCGGGACAAGGATCTAATTGAAACTGAGAGTTTTAAGGAATCTGTTCACTTCATCAGGTCCAACAAGATCAAACTGTTCCTAGATTACCGGGAAAGATCTTTCCCCAGCATCTCAGACAGACCTGCACCCTTCATGTGTTTCAAGGGAAAATAAATCCAAGTGACTTTTTCTGTTAGGTGTTGAACAAATTCCTTTGTGCAGTCCTGAAGATGTTCAACTGAGCTCCCGTCCTACAAAGTACCTGTTGACCCGGATCAGGGCTGTGGGGTGACGTTCTGTGGACTCAGTAAAGGCGGAGAAATTGGGTTGTTTCATCACTCTTATCATCACAAGATAAGCCTTAACAGCGGCTCTGAGTCATGTGTGATCAGAGTCATCCTTCATTTTCCTCCAATGGTGCTGTAGGAGTCTCTTAATCCTTTTCAGTACCCACAACTCCTCCATAAACCACAGGGAGAGTTAGAATGATGGTTCAAGAGTGTGGTCCTGTCCATAGTCCTGGCCACCCTTTGATTTCATGTGGTTACCAAGGCTTTGGCAGGCCATGAAACAAAACTTTCAGAATGTATTCCTCTGAAACCCTATCAGTTCCATCAGTCACTGGGGATGGACCAGGCCTCCTTGCAGAGAGGGTGGCATAAGACAAGTTCATGGACACCAGGGACGAGGTTAGATTTTCCCACCAGATCACGTTGCCATTGTTCCGACAAGTAAATCCTATCTGGTGAATGACCACTGTCTCAAGTCAGGCCAAAGATTATTTAGGATAGGCTTATGGTTGCCATGGAGGCCATGAACTCCTGGACCACTTCAGAGATCACACTCAGGGATGGCAAATTGAAGTCCCCCAGAAACATAAGTCTGGGGAACATTGCCGCCAGTCCTGAGATGGCCTCTAGCAGCTCAGCAGAGAAGCTGATGCAGTAGCAACATTCCCAATTGATCTCACCTTCAGAAAGAAGCTCTCATAATCAGAGACTTGGAAAGCAAGGGCCATGAAGGCTATACCATCCCCCCATCTCATATACTGGGGTCTCAGCTGATGTCAAATCTTAAATCTGTCTGAGCACATCTCCAATAATAACCAATTAGAGCAAAAGCAGGCAACAAATATGAATATTCTCACTATTATTTGCACTTAATCCCCTAAATAGGTCACAGGAAAAAGTTATGAGTTATGGAAAATAATGCAAAAAAAAAAAAAAAGAAAGAAAACCCTTTCAGAAAAACTCTTTGTAGGGTAGGAATGTATCAGTAAGAATAACCTGAAATCTATGACATTGGCTTGGTTTTAAAAAATGACTATGAAAGGATGTCCAAATATGATTAAGTGAAAGATAATTTTATTCTATTAAAGAGTGATTGTGGCAATTTTTTCATCTGCAATAGTTTACAAAACATTTCCTAGAAGACTCAAACAAAATTTAATACAGGTTTGAAAAATATAAGGAGATTAAATGAAATCACATACTGTTTACTTTTTCCTTTAATTTGCTATCATAAAACATGAAAAGTTAATGTTTTTATCCAAAAAGATCGAATTATTTAAGATTTTTGCAACTCTCAAAAATATAGTGGTTTAGATATATACAAACATTCAACAAATTTAAGGGGGAAATGTGCTAAACATAAAATACTAAAAATATTGATTGTATGACCACAGCTTTGAATGTCTATTGAAGGATTTTAAACACTGAAAATTTACTAAGTAACAAAAAGGTCATACTTTTATTACACATTTATTAATAGCTCTAAATGCAGTAATTTTCATAGTTTTAGTAGTATAGTGGACATTTTAGAATTGGGATAATAATGATAAAGGTGAATATTATTGTAAGGCTTTTATGCAAAACATTTAATCACAACACAACTATATTTTTGCAACAGATGAAAAACCCATGTTGCAGAAAGATATACCTAAAATTATTAAAAAACATCATTTTATTGAGAAATAAACTTTAATATGTTAGAACAAGCAAAAGGAAAACTGTCATCCCGCCACAAATTGAACTCTGGAGACAAGTCTGCAAATTTTCTATGTGTTTATGAATTGTTAGCCAAGGAATAAATATTGACAGATACAACGTATTTGGCTATATGCTAGATTGAGGAAAAGGCCAAAGATTTATTCTAATCAACTGCAATGCTGGTCACTAATTTTCTAAGCTTACATCATTCATGAAGCATTCCTTGTCTGAGATAACAACCTTTACCTGTTATAATGCATAATGATACCCCAACCTAATCAAAATTTAAAACATGATCAAAGTGTGTTTGAACATGGTTTTCAAAGGTTTGCTGGTCATAATCAGGAGGAAACTGTTCACGGCACATTGGACACACCTTCCAGTGACTTTCAACATGTTCTTCAAACTTGCTTTGATCATAGTTAGGAGGAAACATCACTTCACAGAGTGGACATTTCTTGATGTGCACAAAACTTGGAATAAAAAGAGAAAGAATTGAAGATAACAGTGAAATTGAGATCAGTATTTAATCTCTAACAGCATTATCTTTGTCATTGCTATTATCTAAGTGAATGGACATAACCAGCAATAGCAATAGTTTTAAGAGTTACTGTACTTTTCGGCATTTGTGCATCTTATACAGTGAATGTTGTCGAAGCCCTGCCCATCTGCCGGCCCCCACCCTTCGGCCTCTGCCTCCCAGCAATTTACTTCCTTGCAGCAAACAAGGTCAGTTTCAGCACAGATTTAGCATGAGCAGATTGATGGTTGGATTGGCCTCCTGGAATACCGCCTATCAGCTGTTCCAGGCTGCAGGGATAGCTACTGCCTGTCGCTGCAGTTGCCACCAACCGCCGCATCTGCGTGCCCCATTTTCAGCCTCCGTGCGTCCCATTTTCAGGCCCTTCACCTGGAACAGTTGATAAGCGGTATTCTGGGAGGCAGTTCCAACTACCAATTAGCTGCTCGTGATAAATCAGGCTGTGCTGAAGCTGACCACGCTGTTTGCTGTTTGCTGCAAGGAAGCAAATTGCTGGAAGGCAGAGGCAGATTTTTTTTTCTTGTTTTCCTCCCCAAAAGCTAGGTACATCTTATACAGAAGGGTCTGGGTAGAGCTCCCCTAGACCCCCAGGCTTTTTTTCTTTTAAGCCTGGGGCTTGCAGGGTGAGAGCTCCCTGAAAGCTCTTCAAAGCTCTGGAGCTGGGACGAGTCTGCTTAAAAATAAGCAGACCGAAGCGTCGCGACCACACCAGCAAAGCAACTAGAAAGATTATAAAGAATTTGGATTTTGGATTTTGGATGCTGGCAGAGTTAATCCAGGAGACTAAAAATGCAAGTATTGTATGCTAACTCCATTTAAAAAGGGAAAGATGGCGCCTTCACTTATAAGTGAAAGTCCTTGTTAACAACAGTAACATTGTTAAAGCTATCGGGTTACTTAAGAAAAAGATTTAAAGTGGTATTGATTTTAACTAACTTACATTCCTAACTTGCCTGGAAATAATTTGAGTTAATGACCTGATAGCTGAATTAATACAAATATAAAGAGACAATTAAAAAATGGCTGAAACTAAAGATGGATTATATGAGTCAGCAAACTTGCAAGTAGTGACTGTGAAGGACTTAAAAGACTTTTTAAAATCTTTTACTGCTGAGATAAGACAGATAATTAAAAGAACTATTCAAGATTTTAAATTGGGGAATAATAATGACTTGCTGGCTGGAAAAGAGGAAGAAATTAATCAGGATGTGCCTTTGCAGGACAAAAGAGACATTATTGGGGTTAAAATAGAGGTTATTATACCGAAATCACAGGTTCTGGAGAAGGCTTCCATACAATTAACTGAGAAACAGCAAGAAGACTCTTTGCTGCAGGTTGATAAATATTTTGACAAGTTTTGGCTCTACAGACAGAATCAATATATAAGGAACGAACTGATGGATTACAAATGCAGGAAGAATCGAAATTAAAGGAAAGAATTTAATCGAAAGAATCGATTAAAGGAAACAACCCCAAGAAGAGAACAAATTCCTAAGACATACCAACTACAATTTCAAACCAAAAAATTTTTGAAAATAAAAGCGGGGGGAGGAGTAATGCTGAAGAAGAAAGTATTATTGAAGAAGGATTGGGGAAAAAATATAGAAAGAAAGAAAGACTGGTCATATTTTGGAGATTGTTTCATGATGTTAAAAGAGTTAATTAAAGTTGGATAACTTCTGAATTTTATGGTAGCTTTAAAGTATTGAAGTTTAAAGGTGGATAACTTAAAATTTAATGGATAACTTTTTGAAAGTTTTGAAACTTATATTTTGGAGAATGTTCTGCTAATGTATTAAGAGATTTTAAAATGTTTAAAATAAGATTATAGGGTGTTTTTTTTACAAATGTGAAATGTGATAAGAGAATTTATAAAAGGAAGGTTGAAGTATAAGTTTTAAAAGGGGAGTTAACAAGTGTGAGAGAGCTTTGAATTCTGTAATAGCTAGCATATTTTAGCTTATGTTTGTTAAATGCTATATCCTGTTTTTGCTCTGGGAAGTTGGGGGGGGGAATTGGGGAGGGGGGGTTGGGTGGGGATAAAATGATGCATGATAATTGATTGTGTAATGTTTGGTTGTTTGAATATAAAAAAATAAATAAAAAACTTTTGTTTAAAAAAAAAAACAGAAGATGATGAGCTGGACTGGACTGGGAAAGCCCAGTCCAGTCCAGTTTCAATATCCAAATATTGCTTAATGGGGGGAGGGGGGGAGAGCTCCTATTACCTGTCACTGTTCCTACCCACCTTGCAGTTTGAAAGTATGCAAATGTGAATAATATAAATAGGAACCACTTTTGTGGGAAGGTAAAAGTGTCCCAGCATATAGTCATGTCACACGACTATGGAAAATGTTGTCAAACAAAGCTAACTCTCTCAACTAAGAAAGGGAGATGTGCACCGCTCCTAGAGCTGTAAACGACTGGACAAGGGAAACCTTTATTTTTATATTCAAAGGACCCAGTATTTTTATTATAATTCCAATTTTGGAAAATGAGTGGAAAATCATTTATTTTTCCAACTGTAAAAATTGAAATTCAATTCTTCTTAGAGTTCAAGACCTGGAATTTAAGCTTAAGGTCCAAGCTTCTTGCGCTGCGAGATTCCCCCCTCTTGTAGTTTGGCCCTCCACGTTATCGAGGGCCTATCTTGATGACGGGTTTTGGAACCCCGAGATGGCATGCGTCAAAAAGGGGATTAAGGGTTTTTTTAAATGCATTGTTAACTAAAATTTTAAGGGGTTCAGGGATGACCAGAGTGGGACTGGGGGAGAATCCACAAGGGTCATGGCCGGGTCCGGCAGAGGGCAGCGGCATTAGGGATGCAGGGTTGGACACCAGGGAGGGGGCTAGAGCTCAACCTTATGAGGGCCATATGATCTGTACTGTGGGTCGGATGGGCTTCCTGGTGGAAGCAGGGGGCCATATCATGTTATGGGAGTGCGCTCTCGCTATCTTTGTGCGATTGCGCACTCCGGTCCCCAAGGCTTTACTGGTTCCCCAGGTAGCACAGACTCTCAGGGCCTGGGCCTTCGGCTGATGTTGTGCAACGCCAGATCCATGGTAAATAAGGCCCCCCTCATTTACGATATTATTCAGGAGGGGGGAGCGGATCTGGCGGGTATTACGGAGACCTGGTTGTGCCCAAAAGGGGGGGTGCCCCTGGTTGAAATGTGCCCACCAGGTTTCCGGGCGTTTCATCAGCCGAGGGTCCAGGGTAGGGGCGGGGTGGTGGTGGCAGTTATTATTAAAGAAAGTCTATGTCCGAGGGAGACCACCGTACCTCAGATAGCCGGATGTGAGTCCCTCCTTGTGAAGTGGGGTCGTGGGGTGCAGATGGGCCTGCTGATTACGTACTTGGCTCCCTGCTGCATGGCAGTGGCCCTGCCCAAGCTTCCTGATGTGATAGCCGGGGTGGCGGTTGATACCCCCAGGCTTATGGTTATGGGGGATTTCAACCTGCCATCTGTCGGTGAAACATCTATGGCAGCTCGGGAGTTCTTGGCTTCCATGACGGCCTTTGACCTGACCCAAGTAGTTCAAGGCCCTACTCACATGGGGGGACACACTCTGGACTTGATTTTTGTCTCTGGTCAGTGGCAGAGTGATCTGGAAAGAGGGGATTTAGTCATCGAACCCTTGTCATGGTCTGATCACTCCCTCCTTCGCATGGACTTTTGAACCGCTACACTTCGCCGCAGGGAGACGGAACCGACCAGGTGGTTCCTGACGGACCCGGATAGGTTCCTGATGGAGCTTGGGCCATTCCCTGAGACTCTGGCTCACGGCACGACTAAAGAGCTGGTGGCCGCCTGGGATAGGGCGGCCGCCAGAGCTTTAGATCGTGCCGTGCCTTTGCGGCCTCTGACCCAGTGCCGATCTCAATTGGCTCCGGTTCTCCAAGGAGCTGAGAGAGATGAAGCGCTGGAAAAGATGCCCAGAGAGTGATTGGAGGGCCAGTCGCTCCGAATCTGACCGAACACTGATGAGGTCTCATATTAAGATCTACCTAGTGGCGATAAAAGCGACAAAATTTAACTATTTTTCTGCTCTTATCGGGTCTGCAGAGAACCACCCAGCAGCCCTGTTTAGGGTGACCTGCTCCCTCCTTCATTTGGGAGCGAGGGAAGATCCCTTGCAGGGCAGTGTTGAGGATTTTGTGCAATTCCTGCATTACAAAGTCACTCAGATTCGGGAAGGTCTGGACTCTGATTGGGTAGATCCGGATGGAGTGATGGAAGGGAATCTTGAGAATGTTATCTGGGAGGGGTTTGACCCTGTGACTCCTGAGGACATGGACAGGATTCTGGGGAGGCTTAGCCCTGCCACGTTTGTTGGATCCATGTCCCTCCTGGTTGGTGCTGGCCTCCCAGGAGGTTACACGAGGCTGGCTCCAGGGGATTATTAACGCTTCTTTGAGTGAGGGTTACTTCCCCCCCTCTTTGAAAGAGGCGGTGGTGAGGCCAAATTGTATATATTTGTTTTAATTGGTTTTAAATTTTATAAATTCATGTGTTTTAATGTGGCTGTACACCGCCCTGAGTCCCCTGGGAGAAGGGCGGTATAGAAATCCAATAAACTCTAAACTCTACTCCAGTGAAATTTCACTCATTTTTGTCCACAGTAAATGATCACACATTCACATAAAGTATAACAGTGAAAGCTGGCAAGAAATCTCTGGTGTTAATTTGAAAACACAATTTTGGCATTAATATCTTACCTGGAATCAAAACAAAAGCCTGTCCCACGTTCATGTGAGTGCAGATCTGATGGATCTGGAGCTGAAGGTGCACTCGCTTCATCAACCTGCAAAGGAAGTGTTTGATTTTATTGAATGTATTTTTCTCATCGAATTGTTGTAATTTTTATTATTACTATGACTACTTACATTCACAAACCAACATATTTGTGTGAAATGGCATTTATCTTACAGTTTCATATTGTTGAGATTATGTCATTTTCTTTCTTGAAGCAAAGAGCAACAAAATGTTGCCTTGAAGCTTTTCCTTGTCTCATCCCTGTTGCTTGCAAATGCAGAAGAGCAAAAGTGTTTCTTTTTTTTCCATGTTTTATTAAATTTATTAAATTTATTTATATTCAATCTGGTTTTCATCAAACAGTGTTTGGTCTGGGTACAGTAACGTTTCATCAGTCATAATATTCATTTTTGTTATAGCATTCATCACAATAATAATAGTAGTACAATAACAAAGTAATATAATCACAATGATACTTAACATCCTCTTCTTTAACATTTCTCATTAGGATTCCCTCTTTTAATTTCTCTTCCTTTCTAATTTCTGTCTTTCTTACCTAACCATCAGAACCCTATAGAATCAAGTTTATTCCATTTCAAAGAACAACAAAAAGTATAAGAAAAAAGACTTCCGGTTTGGCGTTCCGGTTTGGCGTCGCGGCGAGACAGTCGGGGAAATAGCAGGCTCTGATGAGCGTTGCGAAAACCCCGGCTGCCGAACTGCCGCCGATGGGTCTTCAGACCGGAACCGTCCTGCAGGGACAGGGGAAAAGAAGGGGTGCCTTGGAAGACCAAGAGGAACAGGCAAGTTCCTCGGACGTCAGAGGGAACCCTCTGTGAGTTGGCAGAGGGGGGCGGCAGCCATGGCGGCTGCCACGAAGCTGGGACAACCGGGCTAAGAGATGTGCAGGAGGAAAGTGGATTGAAACGGAGCATTTTGAAGCCGGGTGAGTGACAACCAATCCAGGCTTGCAACAACGCTTAGAGCAATATTATTAACTGTAAGACTCCTAGACTTAAAACAGCGGCTGAACAACAAAGGGGCTATGGAAAGTTTAAAATGTATCTTTAAAGAGACAAAGACCTGATAAACAACTAACTCTAGAACAGAACTAATGGAATTAAATATTGAGACATGGTGAAAAGACTGGATATTCTAAAACTGGAACTGTTTTTTTTTTTTTTAAAAAAAAAGGAGATTTGATACTTTTAAAATCAAAGCAAGTAGAGTAATTAAACTGGACTGTTATATAATTGTAACAAAATGGATACTTGCCTGACTAATGGAAAATGTGGATTGTAGAGGAACACTTTCTGGTCTAAAAAGGAACATTGTAATTCGTCTTTGTTATGGAAAATTTTGAACTTTACAGATAACAGTCGTGGGATTTTGTGGAGGAGCTTTTTTTTTCTCGTCCGCAGGCAGTTTGACTTTGTTGAAAAGAAAAGAAACTACAATGGAACTCCTATAATTGGAATAATAACAATTTAAAAAACTGGCACAGGAACAAAAGAAGGACATAGCGCAGACTCAAGAGAAGGGACTTGATGCATTTTATCCGGATTAAAAATAAGAAAAAGACTTAATGTGACATATGGAGGACAAAATTGGAAGACTATGAAAATGGAAGGAAATATATGCTAGCAGACGAGAAAGTGAAGAAATGAGGTAGACACGGCTGGAAAAAGGAAAAAGATTAAAACAATGTGATTAAAAATGAAATAATGTATAGGTGGTAGTAATAATAAAAAGGAGGGTTTTTTTTATAAGATAATTATGGATGTATAAGAATATGAAAAGAATATGACATAGATATATAAAATTGAAATATTGATGGAAATTAGAATATAAGAGAAATTAAGCATGTTAAAAAAGATTTTTAAATATATACAAAGTTATGTTTTAATCAAGAACCATGTTTCAATGTTAAATTTGTCATAAAAAAGGATAATGATAATATGATTAACTGAAATAAGCAATGTATAGATGGATGGAAACAATAAAAAAGAGGAGGTAGTAAAGTTAACTATGATTATGCTGTGATTAACAAACAAAAAACAAAAAAGAATATGCTGTGTTTAACAGCCAAAAAAATAAAAATGCTATGCTGTGTTTAACAGCCAAAAAAATAAAAATGCTATGCTGTGTTTAGCCAAAAAACAAAAATGATTATGCTGTATTTAACAGCCAAATAACAAAAATGATTATGCTGTGTTTAACAGCCAAAAAACAAAAATGATTATGTTGGGTAGGACAACAAAATAAACAGGATTTTGCTGGGAGTAACAGCAAAAATGAAATGATTATGTTGGGTTTAACAACAAAGACAAAGATAAAGATGTTAGGTTTAATAGTAAAAATAAAATGACTATGCTGGGATTAACAGCCAAAAATAAAAATTATTATGCTGGGTAAGACAGCAAAAATAGGGAGGAGTATGTTGAGATTAACGGTAAAAATGAAATGTATAAATTGGATTTAACAACAGAAATAAAGATGATAATGCTGAGTTCAATAGTAAAATAAAATGATTATGTTGGAATTAACAGCCAAAAAATAAAAATGATTATGTTGGGAACAATAAAAATGAAATGATTGTGTTGGGATTAATAGTAAAGTAATGAAGATGATTATATTGGGAGTAATAGTTAAAATATTTTTAAATGTTTACAATAACTGTAATGATTTATATTGTTAAAATATATCCATCTAAGAAAAAAGGAAGAAAAAAATGGAATTATATTTGGTTAGGATTTAAGATTTAAGTAACGGGTTTTTGCGATAATGGCATAGTTAAATTGATAAAATTTAGGGAAATAACTGAGTAAAATATTAAGTTGTGTTAACTGGAAGTTAAGATTTGTTAGTGATTTGTACTAATTTGTGACTGGATCAATGCTTCGTTTTGGAAAAGATGTGTTTTATGTTTGTGTTTTAAAAAAATAAAAAAAAGATTTTCAAAAAAAAAGTATAAGAAAAAAGAAAAATAAGTAAAATAAAAAGAAGAGGGGGGAATGGGAGAGAAAAACCGCTCAAAGTTACACCAGGAAAAGGGAAATCATCCCTTCAACATTTCTTGCCTGCTTCAGCCTTATTATTGCTATGCTTTAAATAAAAAAGAGAGGGGAGGAAGGCAAAACCAAACAACGCTAAAGAATAGAAAAAGAGCATCTAACCATTGTCTATTGCCTGCCTCAGTGTTTTATTTTCTATGCTTTTTTTTTTTTTTGGCCTGCCTCCCATATTTCTTCTTACATCTCTATTTATATCTATTTCCTGAATATTTGATTAACTATTCCTCCCCTCTCCACACTCTTCAACTGCCTGGATTCAAAGCTTGCTATCCCTGCCCCTTTCTTCCTTGCCACAATATCATCACGATATTTCTCTCAATATATTTTCCCCCAAGTTTACTTCATCCATCGCTATCATTTTTGTTATTATCTTCTCTTTTTCTGCAAATGCAGAAGAGCAAAAGTCTCTAAAAGGACCTGCTGAGGTCCTTTAAGCTGTATGTTTTCTTGCAATACCATTAAAACTTGGCAAATGCTGCTGAGGAAGCTATGATGGAAACCACTTGCAAACTTACCCTTCTCTTTTAGAAATCAAGAGAGCACCCTGCATTGCAAAACACCATTTCAATAAAAAGACTAAAAATTGATTAGCAACTTTAACACAAATGTCTCGGGACTACATTCCTGCATAGTCTCTCAAAATAAAATGCAGTTTCAAATACTGCAAGCAAGCTTCCATTTTATGAACAGCTATATTAAACAAGGAATATGCTAGAGCAACATATGAAATAAATACAAAAGATATGGACAAGTTACTGATATGTAAAGTTTCTTTACAAATTTGAGAGTATCACTACTGTAAACAGATGCAATTTACAATGATACAATTTATCATCATCCTATAGTCAGAGCTATCGCCCAAACTATTTAATTTTAAAAATTGCCCTCTTCATTTTTGTCACTGGTAATCATGCTAGCAGCATTAAAGACACACAAGCAGCCAGAAGTAGAGTTGATTAGTATGATTAGTACAACAGTGACTATTGGATATTACAGTATATTCCAAATAATTTCATAGTTCAGAAATTTATCCTGAATGTAAATGTATCCAGCAACATCAAATGGGCACACATATACAAACTGCATTCCAATTGTCAGTGATTAGCCACTTTCAAACAGGTATCATTCTGAAATATTTTATATGATATGATTTTCAAATAATGAAAATGATAGAATGCATTCATGAACTAATAAATCAAAACTCCCTGTAGCTCCAATTAGGATCACCAACGGTGATGAATATTGGAAGTTACAATTCAACAACATCTGGAAAGGTATTGTTTACAAACATTCATTTAACAACAAAATGATGTACAGTATTACAGTAGTAACAAAAAGAACGAGAAAAATATATACAAGACAGCAAATTTATACATGCTCTCAACTATTCATCTATTACAACAGGAACATGAATACAACATATATTCATTAGTCCAAAGTTCCTTAAGTTTTATTTAAAAGATTATAATTGTAACCATATTTAAGTCCATGTAAGAAAGGTATATAGGTGCACCTAATTTATTTATCTCTGAAATAAACTCTGCTTGAAAAGGCCCTTCAAACTACTAAGCAGTTGGCAGCACAGGGTCAAAGTATTATCACATAAAATTCAATTAGGACTAGGAATAAAATTATTTCATGGCTAACATAACAGAAGTCAGTATTACACTATAGCATTCCTTTTTTTATTAAGGAAAATAATGAACAGCTTTATTGATATTTTTAATATCTACCTTCTACCACATGTCATACACATAAAAAGGCTTCTTTGCTTATTTTAAAGGACTATTACTTAATCAGCTGTGTTATATTGGTGCTTGTCAGATTCCTATATACCAGTACAAAATAGTTAGCATCCTATTTTTTCTGCTAAATATCTTTGCCTAGCCAGTTAATTCCTTTTTCTATTGAAAAGTTGAAAAGCCATATTATGTTAAAACTTCTATTTGATGTAAGAACCATTTCTGAGAACAGACATACATTTGCCCAAAGTTAGCTCTCATTTGAGCACATTAGGATCCTTCTGCCTCATTACAAAAACTAAGCTATGTCAGCAAATGAGCACAAGACTTAAGCTTTGTTCCTCTTGGGTTTGCAAAAGGGTAAAGCACATAGATTAGAAAGAATACTCTCCTAATTAAACTGCAGCAGACATTTAGAGAAAAGAAAAACCTGTCACCATACAGTAGTAGCTCTGCCAAGAATAGTCACATTAAATATGCAAAATGTGAAATAAAGGTAGGCAGGTACACTGCGCTCACATTCAAGATGTTAAATAGGCCAAAAAAGTTCTGAGAGTTTCCATAATTATTCCCAGTAATGGACTCAGAGGGCAAAAGGCAAGAAGAGGAGATCAAGTTTTCTTCATTAATAGTACTAAGGCTAAAATTGTGCTGTCTGAAAACTGATCAGTTTCTCAAAAGGTTAATAGCAATGTGGCAAACTGGACTAACAGGTCATGATATCACAATATTTGCCACAGTAAAGGACTTCTTAAAAAATAATTCTTATTCAAGGAATTCTAAAAGACCACAAAGTAATTGTTATCTATTTTACAGCATTATCACATTTTATTTGAGCTAGCAACTGTCTTCATGTGAAATAGGCATTTATAGAAATTAGTATGCTTATGTTACTGGTAATTTTCTTTATTCAGAAATACTGAAATAAAATGTTACTCTGTCAGAAACACTTCTCTTGATATACAAACACCATTACATTCTTTTGAATTCAAAATATAGATTTCTGTACAATATTCCAATTAAGATAATTCGTAATGTAATCCCCAAGGCCAGCTACAGTTTAAATATTTCCAGTTTTGGAACCGCGTGTGGAAATTAGTGCTTTGGCCATGTTTCTGATCACTTTAGCCATTAACAGCACTGACTAGCAAAGATAAATCAATGTTGATATCTTTGAATAAATTATACAACTGATTTACATAATGATAAATGGATGCCACTGACTTTAATGAATCTTCTAAAGCGAGATATTATGTTCACCTCATTTAAACTAGAAACTTTCAGAGAAATATTCAGATATGCTTTGGTGGGAGATAGAGACATAACTTAAATATAAGAAACATAAATGTTATTTTAACTTCAAACTTACATTATTATCCTCAAGATCTTCTAAACCCTCAGGGCGACTGAAATTACGAGCAGGCTGACTGCATACCACATTATCTTCAAGGTCCCAAGATGCTGTTCTCATGGGTGGCCTTTGGATATCATCAGGATAAAAAGCATCATCTGCTCCATCTGAAATCATAATTAGGAGATGAACACCAGATTATATACAATGAAGCCTTTTCTGAAAGGCCATATTCCAAAAGACCTTTATCTTTAGTTAAAAATGCTTGAAAGTAATAGCCACTTTTATTAACGACTACAAATTAAGTTGCTTTGAGAACCTGTGATATCCTTCCAAAGGAATTTTTCCTAGTACAACTAATTGACAAAAACTGAATCCTCAAACCTCTAGTTTCCTGGCTTGTGTAGGGATTTCCATAGTGCAGAAGTGGTACACTAGGTAATATAGCAGGAATCTGCCCATTATCTTCAGAATTAAGATCTGGATTGAGAAAATGTAGTGCCTGCTGAGAAATCTGTCCTTCCTTGATCCTTTCTGTTTGATTTTCTGGTCTCCTTCCAGGTTTCTAAAGAATGGTTGAAAAATAATGCTATGATACACGGAACAAAACAGTCTTTTAAGGCTGCTTTATTTAGCTTTCTCCTTCCCATTATCTATAAAGATATTTTTTAAATCTTCATATTTGCAGTACTATAAATGTCTAGCTTGATAGTGTCTCTTGTTTCTTCTTCTTCAAGTAATCTGAATTATGTTATACTGAAGAGTATAACATAATTAAAAACTAATAAAACTAATAAAAAAAATTATGTAAAATTTCTGACAGTTGTTTAATATTGACTGTTTTAAGTCTTAAAACTTTCTGAATTAAAACTTAAACTAATACCTTTGTTTTATCTAAATATTTATCTAAACAATTTCTAAATTTGATAAAGTAATTTTTTTTCTAAAACTAACATGGCTATTATATTATAATATAATATATCTTATATCTTAATTCTCACACCCTGAAAAAATACAAATGTATTTCCAGAAATACATGTCTTGAGGCTTGGAAAAGAGCTGCTTAATGCTTAATGGTTGGTATGATAATAATATGGCAGGGAACTATGCAAATTATTTCCTTTTTTTTTTTTTTTTTTTTTTTAATTTTTTTTCCCCCCAAAATTATTCTTTTCACTTTCATTATTGCCTGGGTTCTCTTGTTAACATACACATTTATGAATTTCTCTGCTTATCATACAGATCTACTGCCCTATGCTCTTGTAAGCTTTACAAACAAGATATCTAACAGTTTAAAGCTTCCATGATACAGTGGTACCTTGGTACTCGTTGTTAATTGGTTCCAGAAGGTGCAATGAATACTAAAAGTGATGAGTGCCACATGACTTACCACATGACCCTTTTCCCGGCCAGGCAGGACTTTGTGTCTGGGTCTTTTCCTACGTCAGAGACCTTCCCAACATGGCTGACTTCCTGTTCTTTCTCCGTGGCCATCCCACTTTTCCTATTCACCGTGTCAAGTATCAAACAAGCAACAAGTACCAGGGCATTTTCACATCAAAATGCATTGAGTATCAAATTTTATGAGTTCTGAAGAAGTTGAGTACCAAGGTTCCGCTGCACTATGTTACAAACTCACATTTAATTATATCCCAAGATAATTTTTTTCTTCTAACTACTACAGTATTCATATTCTGGTTCTTACACAGCTGTCTACTGCCACATGACAGATATATATTATTAGTAATTCACTGATATTAAATCAGTACCTTCTCATTGCTGAGGGCTCCCAGATGAGATGTCAATTCATCTATCTGTCTGTCTTTTTCAGCCAACTGCATCTATTTAAAACACAAATTAAAATAATGTTAGTGACTAAAAGACAGTTCTCCAGATATATTTTCAGGGTCAGATACTTATTGTCATAATTTATAAGATATGCTCTCCATGTGGTTGTTGGAAATATCACATTATTATTTATTTGTTATACCTAGTTCCTTATATTGACTATACTTGGTTTTCGTATTTATGTTTTGTTGAATTTTTAAGGGTCTGCTGGTTTCCAAAACTTTCTTATGTATTAAGGCAAGGCAAAAAAAATGCAATCCATAAATGAGAAATCAGACTCCACATTGTAACCTTTAAGGTGGACTCTGCTTTCATTTGTCATAAATAAAAAGTATTTTGCTGATATGTATGTTTTATAAAGTAGGATGTAATACTAATCTTCGAAGTGCCACATTGAGGTAAGGACATTACGAACATGAAGCAATGGGATGCGGGTAAAACAAAAAATTCCCAGTGAATTAAAATTTTTAATTTACTGAATTAAGTTGCTAACATAACTATTCCCTATTTATGTATTTTTTTAATACAACAAAAACAGAAACTTAGAAACATAATTTTAAAGACTGTTCTCTCCTACAATACTTACTTTTCTTTCATTACAAAATAAGAGCTTCTTCAGTCACTTATAGTGTGGAAAAGAATTAGCACTTTTCAAGTTAGGCTACATATGGACAAAAACAAATGGTCTTCCTTGTGTAATAAATAACATGCTGAAACTCATGTTCAGAAGAGCTAGCTCTCTGTCATTATAGTCCCAAAGCCAGACAAATAAATAATTCTGCATCATTGAAGGCAGTACAAAAACAAAATGATGACATGTTCAGTGATAATAGTTCTATCGTAAAAATTTGGCTTCAATGATTCAATAAAGTGAGTACAGGTAGTCTTTGATTTACAACCACAATAGGAACTGGAACTTCCATTGCCAAGCAATACAGTTGTTAAGTGAATCATGTGGTTAAGTGAATCCAGCTCACACAATGATTCTGCTTGCTGGAAGTCCCCTGGGAAAGTTGCAAATGGCAATCATGTGATCTTAGGATCCTGCAACTGTCATAAATACATGCTGACTACCACTACCCAAATTTTGATCATGTGATCATGGAATGTTCATAAATTCACATCATAAATCACTTTTTTTCAGCACCAGTGTGACTTAGAGTAGTCATTAAACAAATGGTTGTACCTGTAAACATTTCTGTTAATCACCAACTCTAATTTCCCTTGCAAAGTGATTATTTTAATTAGAAGATTGTATAACCATATCAAATAATTGTTCAAATAAGGGTTAGGCTTACTAGATACTGGTCTTTCACCACAGCTAATTGTTGCTTCACACTCTCACTAATTTTCACTTGCTCCTTCCATTTCAGTTCCAATTTAGCCAGTTCATCAGCATACATCGTAGATTTCAATTTCTCATCCTAAGGAAAAATTATAAATCATCAAGGTTTGAGAAACCCACAGATTATTTTGGCCAGATTATTTTTAACTGAGAATCCAAAAACTGAGTTGTTGTTTATTAATTGCCTCTAATCATACATTATTTGACATTTTAGCTAAAGAATAAAACAATGAACACTCTTCAAAGTATTTAGTAGTCTTCTACACAAATGCACAATTCTTTTTCTGCCAAGTAGGATTACTGCAAACACACTCCATAAAATTTTACAACGATCGTGCGCAAAGCACATGCGCGAAGAGAACCGGTAGTAACACCGATTGGAACCCACTACTGATTGGCAGGCAGTCTGTAACAGAATGGAATGATGTGGATATGAGCCTTGGTGGCGCAGCGGACTAAAGTGCTGTTAAGTAGCACTTAGCTGCCAGCTGCCAGCAATTACTGCTAGTTCAAATCTCACCAGGCTCAAGGTGACTCAGCCTTCCATCCTTCCGAGGTAGGTAAAATGAGGACCCGGATTGTGGGGGCAATAAGCTGACTCTGTATAAAAAGAACACCGCTTAGGGGCCCCCCAAAAGCCCTACTAAGCAGGTATATACAAAAGTATGAAGGCTGTTGCTTAACACATTGTAAGCCACCCTGAGTCTCCGGAGAAGGGCGGCATATAAATCGAACCAATCAATCAATCAATAAGATCCAGTACTGAGCTCAGAATTGACTGCTGTATCATCTATCGAGTCAGTGGAGGAAACCCCCCCCCCATCTTGCTAGATTGTGTCCTGTCTGGTGCCCAAAAGAGCAGAAACGGACTCAATCATGGCTGAAAGAGAATACCTGGCATTTTACCAGGTATAACTGAGCCAGAATCCCTAAGAAGACAGAAATAGCCCACCACAAACTATTTCACCTCATGATCCTCCCAAACTTCTTAGATCTGGTTTTGTAGCAGCTCAGATAAAAAGAGCTGAGCTCTCATCATTTCCCAACTATAGCAAATGACTAGTACTCTTCTAAAAAAAGGAACCAGAGAAAAAGGTCACAAGGGGAGCTTAGACAAAGACTTGCAAACCATAGCTAAGTGCAATTTGAAACTGGGAAGTGATTGCCTCCTTGCAAGTGAAGATATACGTTCTAATCCTGCCTATCAGAAAAAGGAAGAGGAGCATACACGTACACACACACACACAAAGAGAATACGTACTCTCCTCATCTTCTGGAATCAATAGAAAGAGTTGCTACACAGATGAAGTTTTTGCATTTTTTTTAAAAAAAACACCTCTGACTAAAACAAAACATTTAATTCCTAAACTGTTTCATGATGAAGACAGCCCTACGTGCATTTGACAAAGCTATTTCCATGCTTTAAAAAAGACTTGTAATTAATTCATTTAGATTTGCATTCTATGCCAATATTAGCTTTATTTTTCTAAGGGAGCACAGTAGGAGCTGATACCTGGAGATGTAGGCAATGTTTTATCATCAACTTCAACTGTAGAAGTTTCATTTTTTGAGCCATCTGTCAAATTCAGTTGATCCCCTAAAGTTTTCTTTATGAAAAATATTTTATTTAAAATATCTCTTTCATTAAAAGGATTCTACGGCAAGTTCTTACAAATATAATAAAAATAATCCTTCAGATACAAAAACAATTAAGCAAAATCAAAACTTTGTCTTAAAAATCTTTATTTAAATACCTCAGCAAAAAGGAAATACATGTTCTGATCTATAGGCTTCCTTATAAATTAAACAGCACAAACATAGTCTCAGCAAACCTCTTTAATTCATATGGCTGTAAATTACTTTCATTTACAGTCCGCAAGACTTGCTAAACAGACTTTCAGAGGAAGGTTATCAACACCCACCTATCTCACGTGGAACAGTGCCGAAGACCTAATTTCCAGACACAGGGCAAGGCCAAACTTGACAGAGTCACAAATAGAATTTTCAAATCTTGAATCAGCCAGATGAACTAAGTGCTTCCTGCAAAAGTTCACATTCTGCTCGTTTCTCTTTTATCTCTTATGGGAGTGGCCAATCATCTCCAAGCCTTATTCCCAAATCAATCCTGTTTCCTTAATTGTTCCTGTCTCCTGACAGCTCTACCCATGCGTACACTGGGAACAGGCTCACGCTGTTCTTCTGCCTCGCTGATGTCAGACTCCGGAGACTCTGGGGACAGCAAAGAACTACCAGATGGCGTTGGCCCCCTCTCTGCCTCCAACTCAGAGCTATTGTCCAAGCCTTCCCCAGACTCCAGGACTGGCCCACATTCCTTCCCAACTTCCTCCCTGTCCGAATCTCTGCTGGCCACTGGCGGGCCACAACAATACAATGCTATATAACTTGACATATTCTAGACGTCTAACAATATCTGCGAGTCCACCCTTTTTATTCTAAAGCATGGCTGTGATGTAAAAGACTGAAAGAAACATGGATGCTAATATGGAGATAGATGAACCTTTAAATATTTTATTTTTTAAAAATGGAATATAGATGGTCTATTAATGACTGTAATTGAGCCCACAAGTTGTAATAATTATAAAACGGGTCACATGTGACTTGAGCTGATTTTATGCCTTTTTTTACAGCAGTTGTAAAGCAAATTTGTTCGCTTTGAGGCAGATTTTGCCAGAAATCAAAAGTAATCAAAAGTTTTTTTCCAGCAAAACAAAAAACAAACAAAAAAAACTATTAAATTGTAATCATGTGACCACAGCATACTGCAGGTGGTTCCAATCTTCAGACTATGATTGTACATAATATTCCAATACCTCTGTAACCCACCATTTTATCACAACTCACTACTCATCTTAGGCAAAATAAACTAAATGTGACTCTTGCGTTAAGCACAGTGACCTTAAGTATTATAAATCTTTTATTTAAAAGTATTTGCATACATACCTCAAACTCATACTGACTTGACAATGAAAGCCAGATAGAAATGTATTTTGAAATACTGTTAACATACACAGAAAATTATACAGGTAGTCCTCAACTTAAAACAGTTCGTTTAGTGACCGTCCAAAATTATAATGGCACTGAAAAACGTGATTTATGATCATTTTCAGTTACGACCTTTGCAGCACCCCCATGATCATGTGATCAAAATTCAGATGCTTGGCAACTGATTCATATTTATGACCACTGCAGTGTCCCAGGAACTTTTTGACAAGCAAAATCAATGGGATAGCCAGATTCACTTAACAGCCGAGTTAGTAACTTATCAACTGCAGTGATTTACTTAACAACTGAGGCAAGAAAGGTTGTAAAAATGGGGCAAAACTCATTTAACAAATGTGTCACTTAACAGAAGTTTTGATCTCTATTGTGGTTGTAAGTTGAGGACTATCTGTATTCACTGTGAATTTTATTGCTTTTTAGTGATAGAAAGACCATCACAAAGGTCTTTACTTATATACTGTAATATTTAAGTGGTTATAACTAAATCTGAAAAAAAGATAAATTAAAAATTAAAATATAGTAGGACATTGCAGATATTGAACAGATCAGTATTAAAATTCCGCAACTGGTGTGTGATTATTTTCCTATCAGTAGAACAAAATAGAAATACAAACTTAGCCTAATTTTTTTCCCTTAGCCAATGACAATTCTTTTGTCCAAATATAATTCTTCAGCTAATTTATATTTATCACTCACATGCTTAAAATAATGTTTCCTCCTATTTTGCAGTAATTCTAAACCTATTTCTCAGAGAACTGCCTCGGTAAATGACTAAAGGGGATGTTAAAGAAAACCAGGACAAATAATATGCATCAATTACACAGAGCTGTTGGAATATTTAATAAAGTAGGCCATCTTAATGCATCACAAAATTTAGTTTAATTTGATAGTCTTAAGAATCATCCATCATGTTACATTTGTAGCCATATAACTTTAGAGTGTATTTAAATTGATCAATTTGTTCTTTCAGGTAGATAGTTTCAGATGAAATTATGATCAATAAAACCTAGTGCAACAGAAAAAAGGCGGAAAAACTACAGTTTCACTGCAGATATCATGGTTACACTATTTATCTAGAAAAATTAGGATAAGGAATTTAGCGTATATAAAAAGAAGTCACAGAAGGAAGAAATTACTGTTGTAATGGAGAATATATGTACTGTTTTCTCATAATAATTGAGCCTTTCATTCTGCTATGGGAAGATAGAGATCAATTCTATCATAATTACTTTTGCTCAGTTGATGAGAATTTATCATCATTATGATTTCTGACAAATCATAATGAACAGATTACAAAATTATCCATTATTATCTTCTCTAATACATAATTACTAATATAATTATTACTAATATACTAATATATATTTCTTTTTCCTTTGTAAATAATATATTACACTTTTCTAAGAGGCAATTACATTTTTTCAGGTATCATCCAACACTGCAGTAAGGATGCTATCCAAGACTTCAGAAAACATTCAGATAAACTATAATAGACAACTGTTAGCATTCTGGATAAGGATTAACAAGAAGTTGCAAATATAAATGGAGTAGGTTACTGAATTTTTGCATGTATTATATATAGGTAGGACTCTGTCTACTGTGCCTTAGCTCCATTAAATTGCCTGCCTTACTTCCAATACATTTTAGAGGCTTCTAGTAAAACCTTCATGAAACTTAGGTTACCCAACTTGGAGTAACTGTGAATTTCGCTTTTCCAAAAATACACATTCTGTTGTCTGCTTCATCCAAAATAATAAATTGATTGTATAAAAAATCTTACATTCTGGTTGATAAATTTATTGACTTGTTTTTGCAGCTTCTGGCATTCTTTAAACTTTTCCTTGTAATGATCAGCAGCCATCTGTAGGCGGAGCTTTAAATCTTCAACTTCTCTGCGTAGTTCTCTCTCTGCAACATTTGATGTTCCCTTTCCCCAAACAAAAACATATGTATTCTTTAAAAAGAGTTTTTTAACATATTGGATCCAGATTCAGGAAACAGACTAAAGATTCAACAAGAATCTTGCAAATTGCTAAAAAATTAAAAAGTGATTTCAAGAAAGAAAGCAGGACCTTGAGAAAGGTGACAGAATTTGAAACAATTATACAAAATCAAGGATGAATCAGGACAAATACATAAATAACATATTGAAAGACATATTGAAATATTGGATAGAGTTGGAACAAATCAAAGATTGTATGATAATATGGATGCAAAGCTTCACAGAATTAATGTATAACAATGGGAAAAGCTTTTGGGAAAAAATCAAAGATATCCACAAATAATAAACAAAATTATTATTATGAGGTGGTTATGTAAAACTGATCACAATTATTCAAAGAAAATAGATCAAATTATTTTTTAAAAATACATAAAATTCAAACTGAAATCCAATTAATGGATATAATTGCAGAAAACAAATGAAAAATATTTCAATTTATTAAAATATATGCTGACAGATACAAAAACAAGTTTGCATCTTTTTCAACACTGAAAAAAAGGAATTTTGTTTATAAATTATTTTTGGCTGGGACACAAAAACTGATTATACAGCAACAGCTATATTGACTATATCTATCTATCTATCTATCTATCTATCTATCTATCTATCTATCTATCTATCTCCATTACACAAGTCTAATCAAAATTTCCTCATATACTATACATTTTACAAAAAGGCAAATTTAGATATTTGCAATATTGTTTTTACAGAGAAAAATGTGCTTAGTATTATTATACTGTCATTATTTAATGTAGTTTTTTCTTTGTATTACACTGTTTTAACAATAAAAATATATAACAAAAACAGTTTATTACCTATTGGTGCAATGTCTATAATGGAGTGACAAAAACATAAGAAAGAAAACTTTGTTACTGCCTTCAGTTAAATGGTTTTATTATGCTAAAATACTATTTATTTTGATGCAAAGAAAGCTAATTACCCTTATGTGAATATGATAATTGATATGGAGTAATATAATTATCCTGTATTTTCTGCTTTAGAAATGTAAGCCAATTTCGAAAGAAACTCTCCCCCATCAAAATGTTAATTACAATAAATTAGCTTTAATTATGCAGAAATATAAAATGAATTAATCCAGTTTATAGTAACACAATGGAAGTTGTACCACTAATACTCTATATACCCTATTCAACATTTTGGTTATATCCTATTATAATTTCGGAGTGGAACTCTGAAAATTTAAAATATATGAATATATGAAAAGCATTTAAAGCTCCAAGTTCAATCTAAATATACTTTACTTTACTATACTGTAAATGATGCGCACAGGTTGTTAAGGTAAATACTTAAATGGAACAGAAATCTAATCTCTGATGAAAGTTATCCAAATAATTTCATATTAACTGACACTGGAGCTTTATAATTAAAACTTAAGAACAGAACATCCCTTTTTACCTGTTCATTGTTCGCAGGAGAGGTTTTTTTAAGTTCAGCTACTGCATCACTCAATTGTTTCTTCAATTTTTCATTTTCAAGTCGAGCACTATGAAGATCTGCCATTGTTTTATCACGCACATTTACTGCATCACTTAGTTCTTTTGACATGAAAAGAACTTCCTGCCTGCTTGCCTGAATTTGATCCTCAGCTTTCCGAAGCTGCTCTTTTAAAACACTTGACTCTTCCTAGAAAAATAAAAAACAGTAAGTTTATATATTATTCTTAGTTTATTGTCTGTTATCCTTAAACAAAAAGAAAACCAAATTTCTAAGGCATAAATATTAGTAATGTATCAAATTCTCCAATTGTTGGAGATTATAACCGTCTGCTGTTGCCTATGGCTCCTGGCAGTCTGTCATGTCATGCTGTCAAAACACGCAACAGCAAACTATTTTTAATTGGCAGCAGTATTCTGAGAATAAAATAGACAATATATCTTTCTGATAGGCAGTGTGTTTGTTGCAATTGCAATGACTTCAAAATGAAAAGATCTCTAATAAAAAAAGAAAAGGGCAATAAAGACCTAAGGATTGGCAATCAAGGATAGATCTAGACAGTGGTGGAGACTGAAGATACTTTTTTGATTTCAAAAAATAGCAAGGTCGATTGTGAGAAAGATTGATGAGTTTTAAGTTCCCAAAGCAGTGCTGATCTAAAGTAAGTTGAAGTGTTCTAGGAGGAAACACCATGGAACATTTCTATTTATAACAGATGGGCTTCTCAGAAACTGAAGACTGAAATGGGAAAATCACATTTTACAATCCAAAAAACTGGATACCTTAAGAAGGAAAAAAAAGTAAGCTAGCATAATTACTTTACACTCATCCCTAGTTAGGTATCAGGGATAAAAAAAAGCAGCACTAATATGGTAATTTCTTGGTTTTGAGCCACCCAGAATTATTGGGAGTCAAACAGAAAACAAGTTTTAATAATAATTCTAATAATTAGACATTCTAAACTTCAAACATAACGTTAAAAAAGACTTACCTTGTTTAAGGAGCACTTATTAAGCAACCTCCTTATTTAATGACCGCTTGTTTGGTGACCATTCAAAGTTATTCTGGCAATGCTACAATGGCCACTATTTTGAGACTGGATCTTATATACAAGGGGGATAAATGACTGGCCTTTATAGATGCATCTGTTGCAACATCCCCAAATCACATCATCATAATTTGGTTATTTGGCAAATGGTTTACAATTACAATGTTGTAGCGTCCTCAGGTGATCACCATTTGTGAGTTTTGCTGTTTGCTACTAACAAGTAAAGTCAATAGAGTAAGCAGCAGGTGACAAATAACGACTATGTGACTACAGCAGTTGCAAGAGATTGCCTATCAAAAACAGATGGAACTATCATCATATGTTGGTGTGGTCATGTGATCTCCTACTTTACAACCGTGTTGCTTAGTAATTGAGTTCCCAATTCCAATTACCATTAGTAAGCAAGGAGTATCTGTACTTTTCTATGGAAGAAAAGTCTCCTTTGAAAATGGCTGGCTGGTTGCTTCCAACTCATGTAGTAATCCATTACTTTATGCTGGCAACTATTAGTTATAGGAAAGAGGAAGACAGGAGCAGCCGTAAAAAGCAGTATATCCTTGAAATGGAATGAAGTGTGTATCTCACTTGTGATTGTACCAACTTATGATGCCAGTTCCAGAAATGATTAAGCAAATCATGGCAGGTTAAGCGTGATATCAGGTGATATCAGATAATAATACCTTGTAATTTCCTGCTGACTTTGCAAGTCAGAAGCTGACTATGAAGGTCAGAAATGGCAATCACACGACCACAGGATGTTACAACTGTCATAACTGCAAGTTGGTTGCCAAGGGCCCGAATTGCAATTACCTGACTCTGGCAATGTGCAAAGGCTAAAATTTTGAGACTGGATCTTGAGCTTTCTTTTTAGTGCCATTGTTAAATTTAAACACTTACTGAATAAATGATTGGTAAATGAGGACTATGTGTACTACACTTCTTTTGATAGCAAAAAATTACGGGGTTTTTATGCACTGTGTTTTAGGATTATATCCTGAGAGCTCACGGAAGTCGTCATGTCAAATATATTCTTCAACTTGGCAGAATGTATATATCACTGTCACCAAGTCATATACCAAAACATGCTAAAAAGGTATTGAAAAAAAAAATAGTATATAAATATTTGTTGGATGAAGTATACCACAAATCTACAGGTGCAGATTTTATATTTGACACTAGTACAACTGAAAATAAAGTAGATGCATTTAAACCAACTCCTACTTTTATAATCCCTCTGATGCCTTAACAATGAATTTGTCCTTATTTAAGCAAATTACTATGTTCACTAAAGCAATTGCCATACAGGTAATTTGATTAGGAATATTCTAAACACAAAATATCAAAGACTTAAAAATAAAGATGCTTTTTAATTGATATCAGTACCTTATTTGATGAAGTAAGCAGGAAAGCTTTCTTCAGTTTTTCTTTTTCAGTCACACACAGTTGTAATCTGCCAATCTCTTCTTTATAATAAGCTATAAGGTTTTCTTTGTTTCCATCCAAATTCTTAAGTGTCTGGATTTCAGATGTTAATTTAGCGTTTTCAACTTCTGTATTCTTCAAGTGTATCTGTAATGACATAATTAATTCATATTTCTAATCCTTGTATTTATTCTAAAGGTAGCTGGGATGAGATAGAAGGCTAAAGCAAAAAAACTTATTTGGGTGCATATTTGATAAGGAACGAATCTGAATGGCCCTAAGCATGCAAAGTAGGATTGGTATGAGGAGATATTTCTTGCTAGATATTAGAGCGTCGGGCAGAAAAGGTGCAATATCTGGCAAGGTTGCAATGCAATTTTTCAGGGATCTAGCCCTGGTCAGTATATTTGGCATTCTCTATCTTGGTACAGTGGAGGAGTACTGTTTTCCAAACTCTTGTTGCTATTGCAAAGCTCTACTCATTATCTTCTTTTTGATACATGGGCTTAAATTTGATGATCGAATTTGGGGAAATGCATTTTTTTTTAATCTAACACTAAACCAGAGTTAAATCACTGCTTTAGATTAGGAGGTGCTCATACTGATTTATTATGGGGATAGATCTTGAACATTGAAAACTTGAATAAGTAATGGAATTATCTCTACTGTTGAACAGTTACAAATATTTATTAGTTTGGAATTTACCTTGTAAAGTTCCTTTTCATCCTTTTCTGTTTTTAACTGGCATTCAAACTGTTCCTTTTCCAAGACTACTTTCTTGAGTTTATCTTTCAAACTACATGGGAGAAAAACAATTTTGATTATTTATTTATTTAGTAAATTTATATGCCACCCGTCTTCTTCCTCAAAGCAACTCTGGGCTTATAATTAAATTTTATTTAGTTATCAGTGAAAATAATTTTGTTATTTGTTGCATACCTATCTAATTCTGTTTCCTTTGTAATAGCTTTCTGAGTAACAATCATGATGTCTTCTTCAAGCTGAATAACTTTGGAAGTAGCTTCTTCATATTTTTTCTTGAGTTTTTCATTTTCAGCTTTAAGGGTTTCTGCAACTTTAAAACTACCCTTTAAAAAAAATTATAAAACTGATTTTAAAAGTGTGCATGTTTGCATATGTTTAATTCACTTCACCAAATCTACATTAACAACTATCTTATCTTTAGGAAACGAAATCTCTATTGGATAGATGTATGATATTTAAGTGATTTTTATCAAGTGAAGTTAAATCATCACTAGAGATACAAGGTTATCTCATATCACCAAGTTACCATTTACCACACATACGTTCACAGGAGAAAGCAGGATGCAAGTGTTTTAGTGAGACACATACATATGCAAAATATGATGAAATATATCAATTTAATGCATAGATCAGATATGCATAAATAAGTGTTTAGTGACAAAAGCAACAAGTCAATTCTATTGATCTTTTAACCTTTACATTTCAAAGACAAATATTTTTTTATGTAACTACCAAGAATATGGACAAAATACATCTGTTTACAATAAATTAAACTAAAACCAATCCCAGCCTCCTCTTTTAAAGAATATTTTTTCATAAAACCAATAATGAAAATGTAATATGTAATATTATTAACTGATACCATTAATATTATTTTGTAATAAAAATAATATTAAATAAATATTTAATACTAAATAATATTTAGCATGAACAGTAAATTCTAAATGTGCACTATGTTTTTAGGTATATCTTTGTAACAAAGCATGTAATTAGCATATTTAATCTACAGGTTAGTACTGCAGTGAAAAACCTTGAGAATTAAATTTGTTACCCATAGAGTCGAAAGAGAACTATGATATAATAAAAAGTCCTTTGATCAGCAGGAAAAAAATAGGGGATGATGCATCTGTCAATCTTGGGAAAATGACAGGGCTTATCTTTCTCAGTATTGTAATAAAAGGGCCAATCATCTAATCATCCTTTTCCACCAGCCCACTTTGAACCACTATTCCCACAAAGAGTTTCTTATCAGCACATTTTAATCAAATGCTTCTGGTAGCAATCAGCAGCTCTTTATTGGACTTTGTCACTCTGTCAAAAAAAGAGATGACTAGCAATCAAAAATACCATCTATTTGCCTCTTCAGAGAAGACCATCTGCCAGAAGAATCATCAGTATAGGAAATACTATATTCTGATTACGGAAGACACTGGTTAGTGATACGAAAGCAATCAAACCATTTGCTAAAACTGTTCTCACCTGCATGTATCTTTACTAGCCATTCATGGAAGAGATGTATTACTTCTGAATTCTGAATTGAACTATTTTTTTTTCTTTAGGATAAATGGTCCCTTACCTTATGTACCGTATTTTTTGGTTTATAAAATGCAGTCCCCCCGCCCCCAAAGTGTGTAGAAATGTCTGTGTGTCTTATAGAGCAAATGTTGCCAAAGCCCCGCCCACCTGCCGGCCCCCACCCTTCGGCCTCTGCCTCCCAGCAATTTGCCTCCTTGTAGCAAACAGCCTGATCAGTTTCAGCACAGCCTGATTTAGCACAAGCAGCTGATTGGCGGTTGGCTCGGCCTCCTGGAATACTGCAGTCGCTACAGGCGGAACACATCCCCACAGCTGTTCCAGGCTGTGGGGATCGCTGCTGCCCACCGCCGCCATTGCCACCACCCATTTTCGGCCTCCACGTGCCCCACCGCGAGCCCCACCGCGTGGACCGTTCCAGGCGGTAGAAATAGGCGGTGGCAATCCCCGCCACCTGGAACAGGCCAAAAATTGAACTGAACGTTGAACTTACCTTGAATGTTCTTTCTATGTGCACTGTAGGAAAGTCCAAGCATGGGTTAAATTTGTCTGATTGATCAGAGACTGAGTTGGAAATTCTTTGGCCACGTCTCCTTCTCCTGGCCGAGCCTCAGTTTTTTTCAATGAAACCAGGAACAGAAGAAGACGCAGTCCAATTGAAAAATAGACCACTCCTGGACCCTGGACCACAACAAGCCAAGGTGGGATTGGACTCTCCTACAGCACACATAGAAAGAACATTCAACGTAAGTCCAACGTTCATTCTCTTGTGCGCTGCTTGGAGTCCAAGCATGGGATATACCCAAGCTAAATTGTTACAGGGCGGGAGACAGATTGGTCCAGGGTCCCTCGGCTGGCAGGACTCTCTGCAATACACGTCTCCCAAATACTGCTTCCACAGATGCATACTTGTCCAATTTGTAATTCCGCACGAATGGAGAAGGAAAAGTCCAAGTGGCAGCCCTGCAAATCTCCAGAATTGAGGCTTGTGTAGCCCCGTCTGCTGTAGTGGCGGCACTACGGGTAGAATGTGCCATGATGTGACGAGGCACGGGGCAGACCTGTTGTTCATAAGTTAAGGCAATACAAGCCTTGAGCCAACGTCCAATGGTGGATGGTGATACTTTCTTCCCCATAGACATGGGCTGGAAGGATATGAATAAGGGTTCCGTTCATCTGAAAGAGGCCATGCGTTTAATGTATCTCTTTAAAGCTCTGCAAACGTCCAAGATATGCCAGCGTTTTTCACGCGGATGTCTCAGATTGAGGCAGAAGTCTGGTAGAATAACTTCCTGCGTCTGGTGGAACCAGGTATTTATCTTTGGCACAAATATCAGGTCTAAACGAAGAATGACCCTGTCCGGGTGAAAAATGCACAAATCCTGGCGCACTGAAAGAGCTGCAAGTTTAGATATTCTGTGTGCAGATGTAATCGCAACCAAGAAGGCAACTTGAGAGTGGTGGTCCTTAAAGGTTTGAATGGTGTTAATGTGACAGCCTGTAAAACCACCAATAGATCCCAGGTTGGGTATCTGTGGACTGTTGGAGGTAATAAGTTGCCAGCTCCTTTCAAATAGCTGCAGACCTTGGATGTTGAGACAAAGGAACAGGTCCATCACCTGGTAAGATAGTTGCCAAGGCCGCAACCTGGCGACGGAGGGTATTGGTAGACAACCCTTTCTCCAGGCCCCGTTGCAGGAAATCCAGGACCTGTGGAACAGTTACAGATGTAGGTTCTCTTTGGTGTACCAGCGACAGAATGACGTCCAGGTGGCTTTATAAATCTGGATTGTTGATGGTTTCCTAGAAGCAAGAATAGTGGAAATTACAGTTGATGAATAACGTTCCTTCCTCAGGGTCTCCCGCTCAAGTGAGAAACGGCCAGATTGAGCCACTGGGGTTCTGGATGTTGGAGGGTCCCTTGGCTGAGGGAGACCCTGTGCGGTAGTAATATCCAGGGACGCGAGATGAACAGTGACATCAGGTCTATGAACCATGGACGTCGCGGCCAATGAGGTGCTACTAACAATACCTCCACTTCTTCCTCCAAGATTTTCCTGATTACTCTCTGGATCAGCGGAATGAGAGGAAAGGCATACAGCAGTTCGGTCAGCCATGGGCAACGAAGAGCGTTGGTCCCCTCGGCTGCTGGTGTGCAATACCAGGAGAAAAATCGAGGCAGGTGGGTGTTTTGTGGGCTGGCAAATAAGTCCATGACCGGAGTCCCGAAGCGAACCGTTATGAGGTGGAAGAGGTCTGGGTGGAGTCGCCATTCGGACTGGTCTATTGTTGTTCTGCTTAACCAGTCCGCCATGGAGTTGGATGTCCCGGCAATGTATTCCGCCTGTAGCGACTGCAGGTGTTGCTCCGCCCAGAGACCTAACTTTGTGCATGAGAACGACCGCCTCCTTGTCTGTTGACATGCACCTTGGCGGTGACATTATCAGTCAACAAAAGGACGTGTTGATTTGACAGCTCTTTTTGAAAGTGGCGTAGCGCCAGATGGGCTGTTCTCAGCTCCAGCCAATTGATGTCATTTAGCAAATCCTGCTGAGACCACTTCCCTTGAATCACATTGGAATTCAGATGAGCCCCCCAACCGAAGAGGCTGGTGTCCGATGTTAACACCAGCCTCGGAGGGTCTCGAAATAAGCAGCCCTTGTCCATGGCTGCCGACTTCCACCAGTTCAAGGAATGAAGAACTTGTGGAGGAACCGTGACCTTGCACAGGAAGTTGCTGCGCCCTGACCTCAGACTGGGCAGAAGTAGCCATTGCAAGGCTCTGGTATGTAACCGAGTCCACGGAACTATTGCTAAACAAGAAATCATTTCCCCCAATAGCTGGGAAAGAAGCAATAGGGGCACTAACCCCAAGGTCTGCACCTGATCTACCATCTCCCTGATACTGTCCTTTCTCTCCTGAGATAGAAACACTTGTGATAACTGAATATCGATCATCGCACCCAAATGGGTAAGCCATTTGGACAGTGGACAGTGTCAGATGGCTTTTCTCCCAGTTCACGGAGAACCCGTGGTCCTGGAGTGTCTGGATCGTAACTCACAAATCCTGTTCTGCCTGCCTGAGGGACAATGCCTGAATTAGGACATCGTCAAAATAACACTGCAGGCGTATGGAGCACTCCCTCAGATGTGCTACTACTAAGTCCAGCAACTTGGTGAAGGTTCTCAGGGCTGAGGAGAGGCCGAAGGGAAGCGCCCGGTATTTCTAATGGTGGCCTGCAAATGCAAATCTGAGGAACCTCCTGTGGGATCGCCTTATGGGAAAATGGAGGTAAGCCGCTTTGAGATCTATAGATATTAAAAAATCTCCCTGTCTGAGACAACCCAGGATCGAATAAAGGGATTGCATTTTGAACCTCCTGTATTTTATATGAACGTTGAGTTCTTTCAGGTTCAAGATAGCTCTTTGGCCGCCCGAACTTTTGGGAACTAGGAAGAGTATGGAGTAAAACCCTAACCCCCTCTGCCCCACTGGCACCGGCTCTATGGCCTTGATATCCAGCAAGTGATGAATCTGTGGTTGTCTCCCTCCACTGGTCGGCAAACTTCTTTAACCTGCCGCTAAAAGGGATCTGAGTCCACGAGTCATTTAGAACGACGGTAAGGCTGTCCCCCGGATCCTTGATAAGGTCGTCTGGATTGCAGCTGTCAATATCTGTCTCGAAATCCTGACCTGTCTTGTGTCCTATCGAAACTGTGGGGATATTGTCTGTGGAATTGCGAGGCGGAGAACCTGCCTCAGTATTCCGAAAGGGCTGCCTGTGTAATA